GTCAATGTCAAGGTCAATGTCAAGGTCAATGTCAAGGTCAATGTCACTTGCAGGGTTTGAATAAATTATTTTTGTACGTGATGCGCGCGCTTCTTTTCTTCATAGTTATTAGAAGCTACCTCGTATTTTTTCATGTATATTATTAATACATAATCACATGATTTTCTCGTCCAATTTGGATTAAATAAGTACTTGTAATTTTTTTCAAAAACCACAAATTGCACTTGCCTACGGGCTCGTGCAATTTTGTTAGTCTTTGATAAAATTTACTCATGCTTATTTATTCCAAATTGCACTTGAAATCATGTGATTACCTATACTAACGATTTTTTAAAAAATTCCTCTGGGAAATAAGCACACTTATATACCGTTCACTTTGCTGTAAGAAATAATATCAACTATATCAAAATTTAAGGTCATTAACAACTCTTAAAGTACCCTCAAACCATCATAACTTTAGATAAACTGGATGAAGCACCTGGAGATAAATTTACAGTTGATTGCAAGATCCTAAAACTTGAAGAAACAAAGATTGCTTGACTAACAAAGTATAAGGTGGCCACTGCAGTCACAGGGGACTCCACAGCTTACACACATGGGCCTTACTTAGAAAAATTTTCAACGGGCTCGAAAATGCTCGTCGTTTCTTTGAATTGGTAGTTTCCTGAAATCATTGTGACAGATCAACCAAGCTAAATGTTTTTCGGAATAATGTAGAACTTTAAGCAATGTTTGTTTATCTTTTAAGGCTCTAATTCCGACAAGAGTACGTTACTGAATTAACAGCAAATCCTAACATTTTCCTATTTTTGTTTTATTCACACATAGCCACCTGTGTACTGATTTTTACAACCGAGCTCATGTCTATTAGGAGGAAGTCGCTGTTTGATCCAAAGTTACTTCTGAAAATAGGATTTTGGCTGGTCCTGGCTGGAGTGATTTTGTACTATCTGTATAGAAAAGCATCTAAAGAATCTGGCAAGCCTGATACAAAGTCGAGCAAGAAAGATAAAAAGTAATGATAAAACTGTAAATTGTTCAATAATAAACGGTGTTACAGTGAAGCCCCTTATTCAGCTGCAAATGGCTTACCACGATTTCATTTCCCGCGACTTTTCATGCGCAACGCCAGCAGTTCGTTGATCACTCCTGGGGCAATGGGCGCGGAAACCAGTGTAACTCTAAACATAGTTAATCAAGGGGACTATGCTCTAAAAGCTTCAGTTAGTGCTTGAGAAAGGGGACTAGGTCACTGAGAAACCCATAATCTAAGGCTGTAATTACGGCAAGATCTTCCATAAACTGAACAATTTTTCGCGAATGGATATAAGCATAGAAAACGCAAAGATGCTACACCGAAACATTTTATTTGCGATACGTGAAAGGTGATTTAAAAGGCTTCCAAGCAAATTTTTTACGGCCTGATACTTATCAATATTGAAAAAGCGCGTTGGAAAAAAAGTGCGTCGAAGAAAAAGCGCAAGTACTCTTTTTGAATGAACGACAGGGCAACGGCGCCAATGCATACCAAGTGTAAAACAAGACATATTCCCTAAAGTGCGGGGAAACGACAACATTTACTACCAGTCCGAAATCGGAGTTTTTCACCGTACGCTTCCTTAAGTAGTGGGAAATATCGATATAGAGCAGTTTTAATGTGTGTCGAAAGTAAATCAGGATCAGTAAGTTTTACTTTATCGGATTTCTTCTTTCTATAAGGCCGACCCTGCTAGCAAATAATATATTTATCTTTCCAATGACATGTCATTTTCAATGCAGACTCATTCCACCACGGAAGTCAAGTTTTCGTTTTTGAGCAGCAGATAGCAGAACAAAGGAAAACCTTTAAAGCATGGGATGAGATCAGTAGTTTTTGAAATACAGGCTCAAAATAAATAAAAAAAAAACAAACAAAAAACAAAAATAATACAATAAGTCATATTGTATGAAAACGGAAAAAAATGTTTATGGTAAAGAAAATTTGACATACTGAAGATTTGAAAGTCAAATGCGGCTATGCAAATGATAAACACATTGCTTGCCGATCAATAGTCATGTTAGTCATGTTATAATTTAGTCAGTTCCCTTGTTGCGATCAAAACGTACATATTCCGGTTATTGTCCCGTTTTGCACTGAGAACTGCTAAAAAAAAAGATAAAAAAGAAAAGAAGCTATAAAATTGAGAATAGAAACGAACGATTTTAATTTATTCTTTAAGGTAGACGCATGGCTTGAACGAATATAACGAAATGCGTGATGGGAACTCTTGTCCTCTAACTTTGCATTTATTTAAAACAACAATAACAGCTGGAAAAACCTTTACCTTTGTGTGGATTAATTTTCTTCTGCTTATGCGGACAAATGCGATCAGTTTCTAACAGAGTAAAGAACAATCGACATCCAGGTACTTAAAGTAATAGCTTTTTGCTCTCTATTCTTATCTTAAATATTAGTTTAATTCAATTCTCTCGCTCTTTTTAAGTTAGAAATACTAGATCTGAAAGCAGTAGGCATTTTTTTGGTAATAGCAAATTAGCTTCTTTGCTTGTATAGATGTCGATCTTTTAGATGAATTCATATTTGTTATGTCTGTTACCGCAATATTTGTTCCAAACTATCCTAGCTCCCTCAGTTAAGTTCTGTAGCTAGATTCGTTGTTTTTTTATTCTTCTTAGAAATACTTGAAACATTTTTTTGACCAGACCATTCACGTGTTTTATTGAAGTCGAATTTCTCCTCATCAAAATCGGTACATTTTTCGGAAGAATAATGATGTAAAGAATTCAGGATTATGATAAACCCAAAATATTCCAAATTTTTGGACAAAAACATAGTAAGATCCTCAAAATAGATGACAAAAATGCGTTTTTTGCCATTTAGCAATCTGAATTGGAAACGCAATCTTCAACGAAACGAAAAATTGAAATTTAAATGTCATGAAGCAGTCACTGTGAACGATTATAATTATTTGTACTGAGTAACGGATATGATCATTTCAAGAAGAAAAAGTACTGCCTCTCCTCGATTTTGTCGACTACCTAAAATATCGAAATCAAACCTTTTTACCTGTTAAAGATAACAACGGTTTTCGAAATACTGATGCACCGTAAAGAAATAAATAACCCATGCAGTTATTTTATTTTGAGCTCTTATTGTAAAAGCTGCCAGTCTTCTTTCTTGTATTGCTAGATGATAGATATGTCTCTCCTGATAATGAATATGCTTTGGGTTTTCACCAAAATAGAACTTAAATCTAAAGTATTTCTCCATTGCAATATATGGTTAAGTAATTTGATTCCTTTCAGTTTTTAATCTAAGTCCCTGCGAGTTGCCCTCTCACGGTCGTGCATTTTTACAAGTTGTCAAAACGAACGATTGAAACTTCAATAGATTATCATAACACTAACTCATTGAACTCGCCGAATTCTCATTTTCCTCCACCAACATTATTAAATTGTCAAACAAAATTATGTTGAGAATTATGGTAAACGATCAACTTGATGGAATTAAAAAGTCAATGACATCAGGGAAAAAAAAGAAGGTAGCTTGTACTAAAAGATAAAATTTTATCAGCAGACTGACAGATCCAAAGAAAATATATTTATAGGGTATGGATTTTATGTCTTCTAAAACCTTAGACATAACTTAAATTTTTTTGTTAAGGAAGCTGGAAAACACCATACGGAAAATGAGAAGCGGTTGTTTGTGGGAGAGAAAAATAATAACATGCATATTGTCGATTCTCTCTGCTTGATATTAAAAATTGACTATACGTACAAAATATTTAAATTGTGCAAAGGGGTGGAAATGTCGAGCGCTTTAAAAGAAATGAAAAAAGCATCATTTTAGTGTATATTTCGATTCCTGTTAAGAGGTTGAAAAGCACCATACACTGCCTAGATTATATTTATATTTTAGAGTAATTTTTAGCATACGTTAATTCTCTTAGCTTAACAATCTCAACACTTTCTGGAGGAAACAAGTATTGCGAAAAAAGAGGTTCGTCATTCGTGGAAAACTTAGAATAAACCTAGGTGATTAAAAAGATCTAACTGTTCCTTGTAATCTTGGTCCTAAACTACATTATGGACCGAACAAAAATGACCATTTTTTTAGCACAAGTGAATTATCAATACCGATTTGAAGAGTAAATGGTTTAGAGCTGGTTCTTAAGCTGGGAAGCATTTCCAAAACGCAGGTCAAATAATGGTTTGCAGACAAAAATATTCAATTAATTTGGGGAAGAGAAAAACATCACAGACATTTGCTTCTATTTGAGTAAAAACAGCTATTGCGTGCCACAGGTGTAGAGTCTTCCTGAATTAAATTTTAAATTTTTGTTTGCGTGATGTCAGCTTGCAGCGAATTTGAAATGGTTCTGAGATAAGCTGATCAGTCTTTAATCACGTTGAGTTATCAAATTTCACTTCTCCTTCCCGTGAAAGAAAATGTTTAGGCAGGCGTCTGATGAGAGTAAATTTAATCATCAGTGTGGAGTATATTAATCAACGAAAACGTTGCT